AGCTCCGTTTGGCACAGGCCATATCACATCCGGTTTCCTAATGTTGCTCTGCCAGAGCCCCTGAGCGAGGTGACCCCTGCCCACGAACGGCCACGCTGCAACTTTTTCCCCGCTCTCGGTGATTTATTTCCACCATCAGTAGCAAGGAAAATACCTTCAAGGAAAGAGAATGTTAGCGTCATTGGAAACCCCGCTCCGCAGAGAGGATACCGCCGCTGTTGTGGCTGTTACGGTGTCGCAACTGCTGATGCAAACGGGGAGGGGGGACCTCTGTATTCCCTCTCCGTTACCGGCCGCTGGGGACTGGGAACTTTCCGCGGCAGAGTCCCCAGCGCGGCGCCTCGGGACCCGCCGGGCGGTTCCGTCTCTCGCACTCACACTCACCGAGAGCCGCCGCGCTCGGCTTCGAGCCCGCCCCGCCCGGCTGCCAGGTGACGCGCCTACTTGACGGCCAGCCCAGCCAATGAGCGGGGGCCCGGTGGGTGGTGCTCCTCAGCGATTGGTTGGCAGAACGAGGGCGCTGCGCAAAAACAGAGAAGCGTTGCGCTCGGAGCTCAGAAACTGCCAGCCGAGATCGCAGGCTCGGAGGCTGAGGCGGCGGGAGGGGAGGACGGCGAGCGAGGGAGCCGGTGAGGGGCAGAGGCGCTCGGGGAGGAGGCGGCGGAGAAGAAGCTGCTCGTCACCCTCACAGGCAGACGACGGCGGCGACGAGGCCGGAGAGGAAGACGAGGAAAGCCAAAAAACACCAATAGAGCGAAAGAAGGGGAGGAGGAAAAAAATAAATAATAAAAAAATGCCAAGAACATCCATCCGGAGAGATGAAGAGAATGAAAGTTTCATGCTGCAGAGCCGTTACCTGCTTTTCCGGCGCCCAGTCCTCTCGCTGTGTTTAAGCCCTTTGGCGTTTGCCCGCCGCTGACATTAAGAGGCATGTGCAGCGGTGCCGGCAGCACCTCCTCTTCATCTTCCTCCTCCTCCTCCTCCTCTCCCTCCTCCCTCGCCTCCCACCAGCGGGAAGACACACCGAGGACAGTCTTGACACACCGAAATCTCCTCGGCGGGACTCGCGGGCGTCGCGCTGCGCCAGGGCGCGCGGAATAAAGGGCGCGGACTGTTATTATTGAATTAGGCGGCCGGTGAGGCGATCGCGGAGGAGGGCGAGGGGCCGCCCGTCTCCCTTCCTGCGCTGAGACTGAGACATGAGGCTCGACTGGGGAAGCCCTAACATGAAGCGAAAGGAATAGATTTTTTTTAAGGACGCAAAGCCACAGGAGCCCCCCTCCCCCCTCCACACACACACACGCGCGCACACACACGCACACACAGAGCACTTTTATTTGTATTTCAGTTTTTTGTTTTTTTTTTCTCGCGGCGGTGGGGGAGGTGACGGGGCGGCCGGCTGGCTGCGGGAAGCTGCTTCCTTCCCCTTTGGAGATGGTCGTGCTATTCTTGTTTGCCTTGCTCTGGATGGTGGAGGGAGCCTTTTCCCAGCTTCACTACACGGTGCAGGAGGAGCAGGAGCATGGCACGTTCGTGGGGAATATCGCCGAAGATCTGGGCCTGGACATTACAAAACTTTCGGCTCGCCGGTTTCAGACGGTGCCCAACTCGCGGACCCCGTACCTGGACCTCAACCTGGAGACCGGGGTGCTGTACGTGAACGAGAAGATCGACCGCGAGCAAATCTGCAAGCAGAGCCCCTCGTGCGTCCTGCACCTGGAGGTGTTCCTGGAGAACCCCCTGGAGCTGTTCCGGGTGGAGATCGAGGTGCTGGACATTAACGACAACCCCCCCTCCTTCCCGGAGCCCGACCTGACGGTGGAGATCTCGGAGAGCGCCACGCCGGGCACCCGCTTCCCCTTGGAGAGCGCCTTCGACCCGGACGTGGGCACCAACTCCTTGCGCGACTACGAGATCACCCCCAACAGCTACTTCTCCCTGGACGTGCAGACCCAGGGGGACGGCAATCGGTTCGCCGAGCTGGTGCTGGAGAAGCCGCTGGACCGGGAGCAGCAGGCGGTGCACCGCTACGTGCTGACCGCGGTGGACNGAAAGTGGGTCCTATGTCACCTGTAGGGCTGAGCTGGGTGGAGCACGTGGGTGGCGTATGACTGAATGGCAGTAGGGATGAGACTTTGGTGCCCTCCACCCCCTCTGCCATTGGGGGGCCCTGCATTGGCACCTGTCCAGGCCACCCACTGTTCCGCTCTGCCTGCCTCCTTGGTTGCTCCAGCTCAAAGCAAATGTCTTTGGACAAAAGTAGATGCTGCCCCCAGAGCCTCTCCAGGACTGAGTGAGCTACAGAGGGAACAGGTCCAGATGCTACCAAAAAATTCTGGCGCCTTTCTAGTTGTTGACTCACGTGTGACCCCAGAGGGAGAAAAAGGGAACCGTCTGCAGCCCCAGCAGCAGCAGCAGCAGCAGCAGCGCACCGGCACGGCCCTACTCACCATCCGAGTGCTAGACTCCAACGACAACGTGCCCGCCTTCGACCAACCCGTCTACACGGTGTCCCTGCCGGAGAACTCGCCGCCCGGCACGCTGGTGATCCAGCTCAACGCCACGGACCCGGACGAGGGCCAGAACGGCGAGGTGGTCTACTCCTTCAGCAGCCACATTTCGCCCCGGGCGCGGGAGCTCTTCGGACTCTCCCCGCGCACGGGCCGGCTGGAGGTGAGCGGCGAGCTGGACTATGAAGAGAGCCCGGTGTACCAGGTGTACGTCCAGGCCAAGGACCTGGGCCCCAACGCCGTGCCCGCGCACTGCAAGGTGCTCGTGCGGGTGCTCGACGCCAACGACAACGCGCCCGAGATCAGCTTCAGCACCGTGAAGGAGGCGGTGAGCGAGGGCGCGGCGCCCGGCACCGTGGTGGCCCTGTTCAGCGTCACCGACCGCGACTCGGAGGAGAACGGGCAGGTGCAGTGCGAGCTGCTGGGGGACGTGCCCTTCCGCCTCAAGTCCTCCTTCAAGAACTACTACACCATCGTGACCGAGGCGCCCCTGGACCGAGAGGCGGGGGACTCCTACACGCTGACCGTGGTGGCGCGGGACCGGGGCGAGCCGTCGCTCTCCACCAGCAAGTCCATCCAGGTGCAGGTGTCGGATGTGAACGACAACGCGCCGCGGTTCAACCAGCCGGTCTACGACGTGTATGTGACCGAGAACAACGTCCCCGGCGCCTACATCTACGCGGTGAGCGCCACGGACCGCGACGAGGGCGCCAACGCCCAGCTCGCCTACTCGATCCTCGAGTGCCAGATCCAGGGCATGAGCGTCTTCACGTACGTGTCCATCAACTCGGAGAACGGCTACCTGTACGCCCTGCGCTCCTTCGACTACGAGCAGCTCAAGGACTTCAGCTTTCAGGTGGAAGCCCGGGACGCCGGCAGCCCCCAGGCGCTGGCCGGCAACGCCACGGTCAACATCCTCATCGTGGATCAGAACGACAACGCCCCTGCCATCGTGGCGCCCCTGCCGGGCCGCAACGGGACGCCGGCCCGCGAGGCGCTGCCGCGCTCGGCCGAGCCGGGCTACCTGCTGACCCGCGTGGCCGCGGTGGACGCGGACGACGGCGAGAACGCGCGGCTCACCTACAGCCTCGTGCGGGGCAACGACATGAACCTGTTCCGCA